ATTAAAAATAAATCAAAAATTTAGCGAACCTAATTATTTTAAAAAAGTTTAGTAATTATTCATATATTCACTTACCATCAAACAAATCCTCATTAAAATCTTCAACTTCAACGTGATGTTGAGGGCTCATTGTAATCCCATACTCACGCAAAAACACTATATCCTCATTTTCGTTAGCTAAATTTTTCACATTATTTGTCACTTCACCCGATGTAAGTGATTCTAAATGAAGTGAGTTTAGATTTACTAAATTTTCAGGTAATAACCCTAATAATTCAGCTTCGATTACCTCGTCGATTACAGGGAAATTTGAGTGCTCCATTGCATATGCGCTTAGCGACAAGAATGATGAAAAATTTATTTGGAAAAACGTAAACACCTCAAATAGAAGCTCTGCCTCTCTCCACTCTATCTCAAGTTTTCTACCACCCGCACATACCAAAATAGGCTTACTACAGTTTCTCACGTCAACCTGTAAGGACCTCCTAGGGTGACTCCGTTACGACTTTATTATCGCTTTTCCTTATAAAATGGAGCCTGTGTCGTTAAACAAAGTTCTAAACGCTTCTGTATTTACCCACAAATTTATACGGAAGCATATTGAAAAAGCGAATAAAATTCGCAAAGCATTTAATGTTGACCGTGTGTATATATACGATACAAATGACTACTTCAAAGATTCAGCATCATTTGTACTTGATAATATTACATTTTTGCGTCAAAACGATGGATTCTATTCAGTGTCAGTGCTAAATAGCGAATTTCAAAAAGTTTTCAAAAACACGGAGTCTATTTTGGAATTCATTGATAATAAAGAAGAAATCGGACAAGACGACCTAGGGCTTTATATTTAATATACTAGCGAAATATTTCTACCAACATTATTGTTTGTACTACGAGAAATAAATCGTATTATTAAACACATTTTTAATAGTTGTATTACTAATAGTACTACAGAAAATGATTTTATAAGTATGACTGAGAGAATGAAGAAATATGGTAAATAAAAAAATAAAAAAAACGAAATATTTTACTTGTTTTCATTTTAAAAAATAACCCACATCTTCAAAAATAAATAGAAAATCCTACATCTTTTTCCCATTAACCCATGACATGACTAATTTATGACCTACATCTCTATTACCCCATATTGTAAATTCCTATCCACATACAACTTACCCCCCCCCTCCCCCACCAGATCGTACAGGAAAAACTTCAGGCCCAAAAATTTACCGAGGGATCCCCTTCACAGGGGGAGACCCCTCACGGCGGGGAGCGGAAAAGGTCTGGCGCCAGTGGCCGCGGAGTGGGGGTTTGTTGTGTCTCGCTCTCGTTGCCCCATACTACTTATATAGTTCATAATAAAAATAGTTATTTTTACATTCAATTTAAATTGCCCGCGTTGTTTGTTGGTAGAGCTACTGTTTTACCAGTAGTAGCGACACTTTTAGTTTTGTGCGATTATAGATGGGGTTTTGTTTTGAGCGCGACAATTTAAAGTTAGTCATCTGACGGCGCATTAAATCTGGTTACACTCTTCCTCTTTTATAATTTTTGCTGAGCAAGGGTTTTATTGTTTTAACTCGTGGCAAGGTATTAAGTGTCAGCACAAGGAGAAATAGTGGAGGTTTAGTCTTAATAAGACAGTACCGTAAGGTGTTTGTGTTGAGAGTGGAAGAAGGAAAAATAAAATTTTGGAGATGTATACCAGTAAGAGGAACTACGAAGGATATGGAACTTGGTTTAATATGTGACTGCTGTGTTCGGGGAGCGGGTGAGTTTTTAGAAGTATTAGTAATAATAAAAAGAAATTGAAGGGAGAGAGAAAAGTTAAGTAATTAAAAAAAATATTCGTTATAGGATTTGCGGTACGGAGTGGGACTGTTACGTACTTTGCAGGAACCGCTCACTCCAGGAGAGGCTATTGGGGTTGTCAGGAACCTGTGCGATCTTTTCGGGCCTGTGGCTCCGGAAGTAAGGAAAGCCGCCGCTTTCTATTTTTTGTTGGAGTTGGAGGATCCAAGCACTTATGAAGAGGTTGTCGCTCCCACTTTTTTGGAGATCGAAAGATTGCGGATTGCGATAACCGAATTTGTTTATCATGGTCTTGCTCTTTAAAGTAAGTTTTTGTATTTCTTTCTCTCTCTTTTTCTCTTTTTTTTTTTTTCTTTTAAAAATCGTTTAAAAAAATTAGAAAAACGGTTCACCCTAAAGGCCATCCCTGCAACTTCCCGCCAATTCTTTACCTGAACGCTTGAAATTGCACTTATGACGTTTTAGAGCTCTTCGAGCTCATAAATACAGTTCGTGTATCATTTTTAGCTCTCCGAGCTCAAAAAAAAAGCTTTTGTATCATTTTTAGCTCTCCGAGCTCAAAAAAAAAGCTTTTGTATGCTTTTGAGCTCCTCGAGCTCAAAAGTTTGATAGAACTTTGATGAAACACTATTTTTTAATTTTCAAATCGCAATAACTTTTGAATGGATCAACCGATTTTCACGCTGTTGGCGGCATTCGACGCAGCTTTATTATCCTCATAAGTTATTTTCAGGTTTTAATTGATCGAACCGAAAATTTCAGAGTAATTCTGAAAAAACACTTTTTTCGGTTTTTTTTCGTTCACGATAACTCACGAACGAATCAACCGATTTTGACCGGACTGGCGGCGATCGACGCGGTTTTCTGATGTTAAAAGCTGAATAGCTTTTGGAATTGATCGGTAAAGCCGTTTAAAAGTTATTCCAAAAAAACCACTTTTCAAAAAATTTTTTTTTGTAGTTTTTTTGCAATTTCTCAAAATCTAGCAAACCGAATCGATTCAAATTTTCACGAAATCTAATGGCTATGATACTCTTTGGATCGCCACCGATTTCACCGATACAGCCGCACGGACATCATCGCGGGAATAGTCAGGGAAGCTTCCTAGGACCTCAAAACGTCGAGATCTGATGAAAACTCGATTTTCGAAAAACGGGGTGAAAACAATAACTTCCCGATTTTTGAAAATTTTCAATTTTCTTAGCGGGAAGTTAAAAATTTGTTAAATTTTTTTTTGCAGGGTGTCAGGTTTCTGCTGACTGGCCCCATATTACAACCATTTTCTCCCGGTCAGCTTATCTATTAATCTGTTATTGGAACCAAGATCAAGAGAACAAAACAGAAAGGAAGGATTGTACTTTCTATGTTAGCAAACATTCACTCGTCAACACGCAGTGAATCAGTATAATTTATACTAAACTAAATTAACTGATATATTTTTACTTATACTGGTCAGATTATCAGTTAAGTAAAAATAGGATTATTTATTACAAAATAACCAAAACGAGGTAATTTATTACAAAATAACTAAAACAGGGTTATTTATTACAAAATAACTGAAACGACTCTCTGCCTGATCAATTTACTGGTTATCCATTCGAAAGGAGTTAAAGATACTCATAACTCAATTATGCAGGAAGAGTGCGAAAGTATAATAAACTAATAATTGTTAATTATAATGGCAAACTTTAGTAAATTGAGCTAAAGCACAGTAGGCTTCTGGGAGGTACAGGCAGCAAGAGGCCTATAGTTTAGAATAAGAATCTAATAGAGCTACGACAGCATAGTTACGCGCGCTTATATAGGTAGCTTCAGCGGCCATGCTGTTGTTCTAGTCCCGAGGTTATTCGAGTTCAGACGATGGTCAACATCGTTACACCACCCTGCTTCACTGTAACCTGGGTAAAAAACTGATAACTGATTTACTCTGGTTGCTGTCACACCCATATAATAACTCATTCATAAAAATACAATAATTGTCATTCATACGTGGTGCCTGAAGTATTACCTTACAATTGGCTTTACTGGTATATACTTCAGTATAAATATCCTTATATTAATTAATTCAGTATAAATATCATTATATTAATTAACAAACTTGTTTAAATAATAATATTTCTCGGGTAACCTACATTCAGGTACACTGATTAATAATTAAACATCATTTAGCAATAAGTGATTCCACTTATCTTTTATATAATACTGGTATCTAAATTATTGACTTGAATATTAAACTTAAATTGTAATTATTTGTCTTTTTAATCACACTGTTAAAAATATTTGTAAAATTACAATCATATTACAAAACAAATGATATGTAAAATTACAAATCAGTGTATAGCAATGCGAAATAAAATACAATTCATGTAATTTTCCAACACCTGTCAGGAAATCTATTAAGATGTTTTGTAATTTTACAATCTTCTTGTATAAACCTAAAACGCATTATAATATTACAGAACCGTTGGTCAATTTTTAAGAAAAAGCTTTTTAATTTTGCAAACATTATTTGTGATTTGATTCCTCATAATTGTATGTAAAATTACAAAAAAATATTGTAATTTATATTAAAATAATCTTATAAAAAATTTAAAAACTTTTTTTTATTTTTACAATTTTCATTGTAAAATGACACAGTGCAATGTAATGTTACCAGAAAATTTTTTTTATATTACACGAATTGTAATTCTACTTGACTATTTTTCAATTTTAAAATCAACAACAGGGTTGGTCTAATAAGTCTGCTTGTCACCAATCATCCCGTTGTAATTCTGGGTTCGGATGAGGCTAATGGCTGTCTTCACCTCCGGCGTCTTCTTTTCCTTGTCTAATAAGGACAAGATGGACTTCATGCGCTCCATCCTATGAGAAAAGTCGAATATTAAATCATGAATATATATATATATATATATATTGGTATTAGTTAATATTGGTGTAAAGATTTGATATAAACTATAACAGCAGTATTTAATTTTTCTGTACGTCACCACTCAGCTTCGCTTGTCGATTTGATTGTCTAGGTATTTTAAGATCTGAAATACTAAATCTACCTATAAAGTTATGACCCCAATCTTCAATGTTAAGCATACTGTTTGAAAAAAAAGCTATGTACATAATATGGACCTTTGCGTGGTGGTATAAGCTTACCTGAGAATTTATCAACTTTCTTACTTAACTTTTTATTATTAATAAATAGCTATTGGTACCTCAGTACCAATAGCTATGTCAATATTTTGATGAGGTTGTTTTTGATCTTGTCTCAACTGCGCTTTGATGATAAATGACTCGATATAGTGTCTAAACTCATCAATTAGAGATAATACTGTTACGATGCTCTACATCACCTAATTCTGTTAAAACCTTTCCTCCCCGGTGTAAATCTAAGTACCTTTGATCTCGACCAAAATTGAAATACGCTGGACTCACTGTTAAAGAGCTGTGAACAGAGGTATTATAAGCATATACAAGTTCAGGTAAATTCTGGTCCCATTTGGTATGTTTTTCTGTAAGAAAAGTTTTAATTAGTAATTTCAAATTTCTATTTATTCTTTCCACAGGGTTAGACTGTGGATGGTAAGCTGGTGTTAGTTCGTGAATAATATTATGTTCCTGTAAATAGTCAGTCACTGTCGAATTCACAAATTCAGTCCCATTATCAGTGATAACTACTGCTTGGTAACCCCATCGGTTGAAAACAGTTCTCAAGAAAAATACTACCTTATTTCCGGTTGGTTCAGATACTGGTTGAACTTCTAAATATCTTGAGTAGATATCACATATTACAAATAAGTGTGTTTTCATCCCAGTTGATTTAGGTAATGGTCCTACTGTGTCTACAGACACGCTCTCCCATAACTCTGTAATAGGTCGATGTCCTGGAGAAACTCTTGGCGGGTTTGTGTCTGGTTTGTGTAACTGACACACTTCACACTCGCTTACATATTTCGAAACATCAAAATATATGGTGGGCCAATAATAGTGATTTGCCACCAAATGATACGTTTTTGCTATGCCACCATGTCCGGATATTTTCTCGTTATGCGCCTTAGTGATGATTGACATGCGCTCTTCTGGTTGAACTACCTCCTTCCAATTCTCTGGTGCATTTGCAAAAAGCTGGTTTGGATGCCTGGGTCGATAATAATATAGAACACCATCTACAATTTTCCATTGAGGAAAACGCTCTGGAGTAGCCTTGACCTCATTTAGTTTTCGATCGTACCATTGTTGTTTAATGTCGGTGATCCTGCTGACTATTTTCTCTTCAGGTTCAATATCCTCATAGGCTCTTGAAAGAGCGTCAGCTGCTTCGTTATTTATACCTGGTCTATGAACAATAGTCACCTTCCATAATGAGTACTCAGCGACCCATCTTGCTAATCGTCCACGAGGATTTTTTACATTTTGTAGCCACTTTAAACTAGCGTGATCAGTTACTACTGTTACAGGATACTCTTCATAATAGCCTCGCAATTTTTGATAAGCCCAAATGACTGCGAGACATTCCTTTTCCATGGTAGTATAATTCCTCTCGTGTATGTTTAATGATCGACTGATTGCTGTGATGTGATATTCCCTATTTGGTCCTTTCTGGGTAAGTACTGCTCCTATTCCCGTATCACAGGCATCTGTATATAAAATAAATGGTAGATTATTATATGGTACAGTTAATGCTGGAGCATTTAATAATAATTCCTCGATGCTGTTAATTGCTCTGGACCTCATTTCCATTCTGCTTTCTCACTGGTCATTGATGTTAAAGGTCCTAGGATTTTAGCAATCATTTTGGTATGTCTCCTGTACAAATTTACCATTCCTAAAAATTTTCTCAACTGCTTTTTAGTAGTTGGCTCTGAATAGTCTTTAATTGCGCTCAGTTTTTCTGGATCAGGATGCAATTCGTTTCCTTTGATAATGAATCCCAAATACTTCATAGCTGAAACACATAATTTACATTTTTCTCGTTTTATTAAGAGACCTACCTATTTGAAAATCTGAAACAATATTTTCAGGATTTGTAAGTGAATCATCCATGCATGGGTATACATAGTTAATCCAATGTGTTGGTAATCTTAACTGGCGTAATTGATTCTTTAATATTTGTATAATTAAGTCCATTTTTCGTTGAAAAGTCCCTGGTGCTGTTGATAGTCCAAATGACATTCTGATAAATTCAAACGATCCCATTCCTTCTACAGCGAAAGCTGTATACTGCCTATGTTCAGCCTTAATCGGTATTTGGTAGTATGCATTCGTGCAATCTATAACACTTCTGTGTGCACCTTCTCTAATGACTTCCAACGAAGTGTCTATTCTCCGCATCGGGTAATTAACCATTTTCATTACCTTGTTTAAAGGTATGTAGTCTATACACATTCTCCAAGCCTTGATGTCTTCAGGATCTTGTCCTGGTAGTAGCTTCTTCTTTACCATTACCGGTTGAAAGCTATATTCACTGTTTGACGGTTGTATTATCTTCTGGTCTAATAACTGCTCTATTATTTTGTGTAAGGCTTCTGTGACTCTCGGTGATCGTCGATATGGCTTGACATGAGTCGGCGTATAATCATTTAATTCAATTTCATATTCAATTCCTTTTAAAGTTCCTAATTCAGCTTGGTCCATTAGGTTAAACTCCATATCTAAAAATCTCGTTAATCTTGCCTGGTCGGCGTCAGTCAGTGAAATGATACAAATTTTATTACCTGGTATTACTCCATTTGTTATTCTGGTTTTATTGTCATGTTTCCATGTCCATGATAAGTTGTCTGCATGCAGGTGAATATGCTGATCCACCATGAATCTCATTCCCAAGATTATTTCATCTGGCATTTGATTAAATACTTCAAACTATGCACCAATGTCAACTCCATCAATTTCAAATGTAATGAAAATTGTAGCTAAACTTTTAATAGCTGAATTATCTGATAAAATGAAAGAACTGGTTGATTGAATAATTTTAATCTTCTCGAGATATTCTGGTATCTCATTTGCTATTTCCTGTGTTATGAAATTTCGATTCGCTCCCGAGTCAAATAATGCTGTGTATATTTTATTATTAATTTTTACTGTACATGTAAAATGTTTACTTACAGATGATACACTGGCCTTCATCTTGGACCGTCTTAACATCTCAGTCCCTTGATCAGTATCATTTCCTGGCTCTAATTTGCTGCATACTGGTTCTGGTACTTCTTCATTGGTTTGACTGGTACCGTCTCTCGTAGATACTGCTCGTTGTGTTGTTACTGGATTGTTTATTTTTCCTGGATTAATTACTATATCATCTGCGTAGTCATTCCAACACCAGTCCATCAAGTTTCCCATACTGGCACTTACACTATTTGTTTGATAATTCTCGGTAATTAATTTATTATTATTTATTGTTTCTGTGTGTAACGCGTCTGATGTAAATTCCGCGCGATCTGCGTCTACTTCCAACTAACTTGACGTCGGTTGATCGTCTGATAAATACATCTCATCCTCGGTGTTAAAGTGGCAGGGTAGCCCTCCCCCCAACCAAAGGACTGGTGGCTGTAATGCAGGAGCTCCGAGTGGGTTGAGTACAACCTCCTGCGTTTGTCGCACTCTCTCATCTAGTTTTTTGGCTCCATGCAGTCGCACGCCTCTCTCGTTACACCTATTTTAAAAAAGTTTATGCAAATATCAATCCTTTTACCTGTACAGTTTCTGATTGAGTGATCTCCTTGAGCTCCACAATTCAAGCATACATAATTATCTCGTACTGATTTTGTACTATTTCTTGAACTGACTGATCCGGATCTTCCGTCTCTTTCTCTCGACCTTGATCTGCCTCTGTAATGGTTATAATTTTTAATATTATTTTCAGTTACTACGCTCACCTTTTTGTCATGACTCTTTTCTTTAGATTTCTCTTGATCTTTTCTTGATTTCCTACGGTGTTTATTTACTTGTCTTACTGGTTCTGAATCCGATTTATCTTCTGTTGTCGATCCTGATACTGAGTCTTTAGTATTTTGTAGTCTCCTTACTGTCGACTTTTTTAACTCTTTTATTTTTCTAAATTGCTGGATTCTCTTGTCTACGATTGCCAGTGATTCTGTCAGTTGTTGGTAGTTTTTTATTGGTGGTAACGTATTTAGTTCTCTCTGTATTTCAATCTCTAACTTTGGCTTTATTATTTCCACTTGCTTTCTTACCGACATTGGATCTTTGAAGTCCTCAAATTTCGCTCTCATTAGTCCTATATAAGTATAGACTTCAGTCTTTCCTTGGTATGTGCTGAAAATTTCTTGTAGGATTTCTGGATCACCTCTGGCTTTGCAGAATGTTGTTATGAACGCCTCTTCTACTTCATCCTAATCTGTCCAAAATTTTATATTTTGTTTGATCCAGTCTTTCTTTTTCGTTAATGCTATCTTTAGTAGCTCCAACCGATCTTCGAATAATAGTTGATTTTCTTCGCACGTTTCTGTGAAAGATTTTAACCATTGTCTTGGTTGTGTAGCATCTTCAAATTTCAAATCTTTTACACGAATTTGTGTTTCCATTGCTTTGATTTTATCTGCCATTATTTTTAAATCATTTCTGTAATAACTGGATTGATTTAATGGTGTTTTCTGGGATTGATACTGCTGGTTTTGTTGATTATTATGTGTTGGTGAGCTACCGTATGGATTTTGTTGTTGTCTTCTGTAAGATTGTCGTAACATTCCTGTTTGTTGACCTATTCTATCACGTTTGTGATCCATCTGTGTACCTCCATCTATTCGTGACCTTGGTTGTTTGTCACATGGTGTTCTACCTAATATCCTCGTTGAATCTCTGACTCTCTAGTTATCCCAATACATGGTGTTCTCGATGAGATTTATTCCTTTTGCTAAGTAATCTTTAATCGGGTTTTCCTAGTTACTTATTTCTTCTTCTGTGATGTTCAATTCTTTTTCTAGAGCTCGGATCTGGTGCATTTCGTCTATTACTGGTATTGACTGTATCATGTCTATACATTCTTGAATGTTGTCATGTGTTTCTATGTGTAGTTTTGTCCATTGTATTAGATTTGCACTTGAGATTTGCCAATCTCTGATTTCTTCTAGGAGTCTTTTATTTTTCCTCTCAGCTCTTGCGAGTTCCGTTGTAAGTTTGTTTATTTCGTATTCTTGTTTTTCAGGTGTACCCAATACTGTATCTTTGCTATTAAATGTGTCATTAGATGCATTTTTATTATTAGGTTTTTGATGAACAAGGACTTCGACCTCCTCTTTGTTTCGCTGAGTTGTATTTTTTCCGTCTGATATTAGTGATCTTCTATATTGATCCATGGTTCCTGGTTCTTTTGGTAGTAATGTTTCCCTTAATGTCAGTGGTCTTTGGAATATTGGTTGTTGGTTTGTTGTCGACGCCATCAACGTTTGTACTTGTTTACTCAATCTATTTATTCGTTTTCCAACCTTTTTGTTTCTTGTGTTGTTACCACTGAACAATATGCCTCTTTTGCTACGTGTAGTAACCATTATGTCTTTCTATTTGTCCGTTAGAATACATAGAAATTTGAATCACAAAATGTTCAACGAATTCAAGAAAAATTACAAAGAATAATTTTAAGAGAAAAAAAATTCAAAAAAAAAAAAAATTAGGAAAACGGTTGACCCTGTAGGTCTTCCCTGCAACTTCCCGCCAATTCTATACCTAAACGCTTGAAATTGCACTTATGACGTTTTAGAGCTCTTTGAGCTCTTAAATACAATTTCTGTATTATTTTGAGCTCTCCGAGCTCAAAAAAACAGCTTTTGTATGCTTTTGAGCTCTTCGAGAGTAGCTAAACAAGATCGATTTGATGTCCCGATAAAGTAGATTTCTGCAATACCAACGGCGGTTTTCTGCCTTGCCGACGGTTGTTGGTGGACTTTCTGTGATATCGATGGTTGATTTTGGTGTTCTTTTTACCGACTGTTGGGGGATTATCATCGATTTGTTGATTGATTCCGTTGAGGTCAAAATGCTACCACCCCAACAGCAGAGTATCAGCCTTGGTTAACCTTTGCCGTGTATCAGCTTTGGTGTTGATGTGATATGCACTTATTTGATGTGATGATGAATTTTATATATATTCAAATGACTTGTGGTATAAGTATATGCGAGAAAGATCGATACTTACGCCGTTCTGGTAGGATGAAATGGAAGTATTGAAGTTCATTTATCGATTTGAAGTAAGTTTGATGTCAATTGGTGATCTATGTTATCGACTGTAGGGTATTGTTGACAGTCGGTTTGAAACCGAATAGATGTTCTGTTTTATCGACGCGGGGTAAAAGTTTTTTTCTGAATTTGAACGTTTTTTAGCCTCTCTCTCTCGATTACATCATGTTTCTTATGTCATCCGACAAGTTTGAACCTGTTTTTTCGCATAGTCATCGTAAATTTTTACAGTTTTTAACCTCACCTCTCTCGATTACGTCATGTTTTTACGTCATCCGACAAGTTTAAACTTGTTTTTGGCGTCGTCGTTGGGAGGAGATCGTTGGTGGGGAGTTATACTTACTTGCCTCCAAATTTCAGTCCTCTGCCTGCAGTTACTTCAATCAGTCGTTCAGTTTAAAAAAAACTTGTGTCTTTTGATAAAAATATTTAAAATTGTGTACTCTACTGTAAATCAAGTAAGTCATTTATTTCATTTTTCTATTTTATAACTAATTTCTATTATTATTAACTATTTTCTATCAATTTCTTAGCTTAATAATTCAAAAATGGATTTGAGTGCTATCAATAAAATCAACAACTTACCGAACTCTTCACCAACTAAAAAGTTTGAAGAACTGCAACTGAACAAGATTTATCAAATCACGGAAATTAAGAAAGTCAACACAAAATATGGACCAAAAATTTTGGGAATTGTGGAAAACGAGTTTTCAATCTTCTTCCCGAATCGAACGAACCGTATGCTCATTGATGATGAAGAGCAGTTAACTTCACTAATCGATTTGGCCTCAGCAGGAGAACTTTACTTGAATTATTTCGGAACAGCTTATCACAAGTTTGAATTTCTTATCAAACCTTCATAATCAAGAATAAATTATAAATTACTTCAATTAAATTTAGGTTAAAAAATATACTCATATAATGTTCTTAAAAATTATACTTTAAAATAAAAAATATATATATACATGAAAAATTAACAGAAAAAAAAATTTTTTTTATTTTATTTATAATTTCCATTTTGTTTTTTATTATTATTACAAAGAAAACATAACATTAATTTTTTAATTACTTAAAATTTAATTAAAAATTTAATTACTTAAAAATCGAATTTACAATAATCTTGGTCTTTTAATAGTTTTTTTCAATATTGGCAACTTTTGTGAACTTGGTATTTCATAACCCCATGGTAAAGTGTCTGTACTATTTTTGAGAAGTTGACGTTTGTCATCTTCCCAACTTAAGGCTAATTTCGTTTGAAGAAGTGTATTAACTTAATGATTTCTACTTTTTATAACATATTCATCTTTTGTTACTCTTATCCCGAGAAAAAATATTTCTATATAATCATATATAATTGTATATGATCATATATGATTATATATGGAATCACATATATAATTATATAGAATTATATATAATCATATATAATTATATATAATCACACATGATTATATATGGAATTGTGTATGAGGTTATATATAATCATATATAATTATATATGACTATATATGGACCGATATACAACCATGCAGGATTATATATAGTTCCATATACAAATATATATAAGTATATAAAATTATATATAATCATACATGATTATATATGGAATTGTATATGAGGTTATATATAATCATATATAATTATATATGACTATATATAGAGCAATATACAGCCAAGCAAAATTATATATAGTTATATATAATCATACATGATTATATATGGAATTGTATATGAGGTCATATATAATCATATATAATTATATATGACTATATATGGAGCAATATACAGCTATGCAAGATTGTACATAGTCCCGTATATAATTATATATAATTAACATACATAAAAATTTTTTCTTTGAAAAAAAAATTTTTTTTGGTAATCACAAAAAGGGTAAAATGATGTTTATAATTACGTTTAAATAATTCTGAAATACAAAATTCGTCACATTTCCTATGAGATGTTTTGTCCGCTCTGCTACTACGTAATAGTGAAATCACTATTTATTTTATTATTTAAATAAGTGTTATATCATAATGAAATTCGGTAAGATAAATAAATTATGAATTATGAATATCCAAATATATTATAAAATCAATTTTTATATTATATATATGATAAACTCATATGATACATTAAGTAGATCATAGAATCATTATTGCCTAAGACAGCAGCACAGCAGACAGAAACTTCAAGACGCACGGAGATAACCAAAGTTAAGCAGCATTGAGTAGGGGTTATAGTTGGATGGGTGACCGCTG